AGGAGGCATTACAATTAGCATGTATAATGTCGGGGGAATCACAGGGAGGTTCTGTGCAACACAGAGAAGACAAATAGTGATTCTACAGCATCTTACTATGCTGATCGACAGTGACTATAATGGGGTTTGTTGGGGGGACTAGGTGAAGGCAGAAGCCTAGTAAACATAATGTTCTTCATGCAATTGTAGATTAATGATACCAAAGTAATAAATAAATAAAAAGGAAGGGAGACTGCTGAGTCATGCTTATCAGTGACTGTATCATTTTCCCAGGGGAATTTAGTTGGTACTCTAGCCTAAGTTGTTTTGGAAAAGAACCCCCTTTCTTTTCCTTTTCCTTCCATTGCAGGAAATCACTCCTCTTTTGGACTTACCTCTCCAGAAGTGCCAGACGATCACGGCTGAGAAATGAAAGGTTTACAGACTCTGTAGGGATGACTGCAGGGTCTCCCCTGAAAGAGTTCTCTGAAGAGTGGAGGGCAAGAAACTCTTGATTGAAATCACACTGTGACAAGTCTTTGGCATGAGCTTGCCCCCAAGAACAAGCTTGAATGGTCAATGCCTCTGATTCTTGGGTCAAATGTGAACAACCCACCAGGGATACCTGGAGATGAGTTCTCTGGAATAGGCATCGATGGGATGGAAATTGATTTCGATGTAGTCACAGTCAAATTGCAGTCTAGTGATGGTACAACAAACATACTTGGTAGTAGGTGAGGACAAGGAAATGAAACCGTGGGATTCATTTTCCAGGACAATTCTGGTAAGGGGTCAATGTCTTGGGAAAGTGGGGAGGTGGTATTCACAGACAAAGCAGCCTCTAGGTGGAGAACAGGATCCACTGTCTGAGTGTCATATGGTGGGAGAGGGGGAAAGGCAAGGGTTTGGGTTTGGGAACAATCCACAGGGAATTTAGAATCTAAAGAAGGAAAAGGTTCTGGTGACAGTGTGTGACACACAGGTGAAGGTGAGGAAAAGTCCACTAGGGAAGTCATTGGGTTGGGTGAGAGAATGCAGGGAGGTGGTGAGGAAGGCTCAGACAGAGAGGCTGGTGTTAGGTCTCCTGGGGGGACTGCTGAGTCAGCAGGGGACACACTGGGTGATGACTCAGTCACAGGAGCTGTGGAAGCCAAAGGGGTCACAGAGGGAGTAGTACCTTCCAGGACTTCTGGGCACAGCAGCCGATTGACCTCAACTGTTGTGGTATTACACACTTGGCAGAAGGGGTCTGGACATAACGGTTGACGAAAGCAGGTAATATTGTAATTCTGGCCCCGGTGGCTGCAGGAGACAGGAAGTACAAAGCTGCATCCAGGACCAGCTTAGGAGAGGGGCCACCTGCAGCCTGCTACCCCTTCACATTACCCCACAGCTATGACTTCACAAGAAGCTCAACACTCCCACACCAAGACTTCCATTCCCATACACTTTTCTATGCCTACCTCCTCCCGTGTGTATGACAGCCTACCTTGAATCCCCCGAGTTGCATAGAACATACTAAAGAGGGATTGGGAAGGAAAGGGAAAGACCTTTTTAGAAGAGCAATCAGCTGCTGTTCCTCCTCCTCTTCTTCTGTTGGGTAATAACTGCAAGCTGGGAAACCAAGAAGTGTGGATTATCCATAATGAAGGTAGAAGCGTAGGTTTTGTATAGGAATCCCTTTACAAGAGCCGCTTGGAATATTAGACTCTGAAAGCTCCAAGATTCAACAGATGAGGTCAAATGGTAAATAATAATATTAACAAGGTTCACATGAGTATGTTGCCATATTTTCAAAGCACAGTCACGTATGTTATGTGATACTCACACCACCCATGTGAAGCTTAGAGGTCAGTAGTTTCTCGTAGAAGAATCTGAGTATCCAGGAAGTCAGAATACTTTCCCAGATCAAGAGACAGAAAAATTCTGACTCTCCACATCTCACACAAGTTTACCACCTATTGGGAAACACCAGTACCCAGGTCCATCTCTTGCTTCGTGCCCATGAACGGCAGAGCAGGACATCTGACAAGTGTGTCAGGCCCTGACAGACTTCCCATGAGCCTCTCTAAGTGATATGCTTTCTGAGAGTAGCTAGACTCTCTCTAGCAACTGACACTCTCAGAGATCATGGACCTGGGACCTCATGGAAAGGACAGGAGGGGTCACTCTTGGAGCATTCAGGTGCAATAGGCAGACATGTACCCTTCAGTGAGCCACCTCGCTTTCTCCGCTGGGCTCTGCCTTGATGCTGAAGCAACTGCCTTAAAAACCTGAGATACTGACTGGAATTTTGGCTTGTACCAAAGAACACTTATACCCATGATCTTGTATGTCCTCATATCCATTTTTCATGTAGAATCTTTTTGCTTTATGAACCAAGATATTGACCTTAAAGCTTTTTTACACTTACTTAGTTCTGTGAATGTTAAATAGTCAACTTAAGTTTTTTATTTCAGTCAGTATTTACCATTCTCAATCTGAGGGGCTGACCAAATAATTAAAATGAATAATTCATTATTCAACATTCACACAACTAAAATCAACATAACAACATAAATAATCCTTCAAATGATTTTAGTCTTTGTAGTAAGTCTGTAGCACTTCTTTTCCTGAAGTGAGTGAAGTTAAACTACATACAGACTTCTGGGCCATTCCATATACACATAAAACACATACACACATCCTTTCACAAACTGATCTGGTATGTTCAAATCAAAGAAAAACATTTCAGTTCAACCCTTTTATTTTGATATTTCATTTTTTAAAATTCTGACCTTACTTCTAACTCTACTTTAAAGACAGACAGTTCCTACCCTGTACATGAAACCTCTAACAGGTGTAACAAATCCCTGTCTTAGCTCAGGCTGGTACACCAAAAATAGCATAGATAAGGTAGCTTAGAGAACAAACATTTATTTCTCACACTTTTGAAGGCCAGGCAGTCCACAATCAATGCACCAGTATACTTCAGTGTCTGGTGAGACTCACTGTCCAGTTTACAGAAAGCTGTCTTCTCCCTGAAACCTCATGTCAGAGAGAAAGATTGAAGGAGCTCTGTAGGGTCTCTTTTGTAAGGGCACTAATCCCATTCATCCAACCTCAGGACCTGATCACCTCCCAAAGTCCCCACCAACTAATACCATCACATTGGGATTGGGGTTTCAACATTGAATTTGGGGGACATAGCATTCAGTGCACAACACTCCCAAAGGCCAGGTAGGTCACACTCTGCTAAGCTATTGATCCCCTCAGTGCCCTGGAGACACGGTGGGACTGAGGTGTCCCAAAGCCTTAGGACATCCTCCAATCTCCAGCAGCTTCATATGATTACCCTTGTGGGCCCCTTAAGTATAATCTCCTCCTAAGAATTCCTTGCCCCAGAAAAAGCTTACAAAGCTTGGCTCTGTAATAACATCCCCACACATGTTCAAAAATCAAGCCCCCAGCACTTTCCTCAGGCTCCCTTGTCAGGTGTGCATAACCCCAGGGTTTCCCTCCTCTCTTCCTGCACATTCCTTCCTAAACTCTTTATCGTCATGACAGCTGTCCTCTGAGCTGCCTCCTAACTCCTCTTTCTTAAACTGTGATGCCCTTTAGCTGATATCCATGGCCTGGCACTATTGTTTGATCTCCTGTGGAAGAGCACAACTGCCTTCACAAGGCAGAGCCTTTTCTCAATTATGCAGAAACAGGTAACCTGCTTTGAAGATAAAATCTGCCAAAGGCACCATTTTTTCCTCACCTTAACATTCAGCCACAGCCTGGTATTCATATAGTAAATATTTAGTGCTGGAAACAAGAAGACACAGGTACATGCAAGTACCTTTTAGGGAAAAGCCTGAGAGGTCAAGACTTAGGTGGCTGCACAGGTGTACCTCCCCCCCCAACTTCCCCAGCCTTGCCATGTTTATGAATCACCAAGTGAGTCTGGAATAGATCAGAGAAGCCATGGATGCTGTGGATCATCAGTGGTCAAGCATATATCATGCCTCTTAGGAAGGCTTCCCTGCATGTCTAACCTCTCCAGTTTTCTCATGCACACTAACAGTTCTTTGAGAAGATAGTCAAAGAGTGGCTTTCTTTTTTAAAGTGTCACATGTTGGCCAGATAACTTTCCGTATGTTTGGGCGCTTTAAGTTAAAACCCACAAGAACTTTCAGTCCAGAGGCTTTTCCCCATGTACCAATAAGATTCCATTTCAAAATGTAAAGGAACAAGATAACTAAAGGTACAAATTTTTGTTTTTGTAAAACCAAAAATAAACTCCATTGATATTAGTAGGAGAGGTTCATAGCACTTGCCCTCTCTACACTAACATAGGCTATAAATAATACATTTATTCACCTAATTTAGAAAGCATTTTAGTTTCAGTAATCTCACAACCACCCTCTAATGTAAGAAAGACAGGTATTACTGTGCCCCTTTTATCAAAGAAAAAACTGAAGCACAGAGAGGATAACTGACTCCCCTAGATCACTCAGCAAGTAGCAGAACCCTGACTACTTCTATTTTAAACAATGTTATAAGTGACTTCTTAAAATAAAAAGTACACAGTAGTCCTGAAATTAAAACAGTTGTGTGACTGATAAGATTCACTTTTGTCCATTATATGCTGGTCAACTTGGGAAGTAAATAAAAGCTATTTTTCTTCTTCTATCACCTCTTAGGTACATTTTTCTCTTCACTCTTAGTGGCAGTGTTTTTACAGATTTTTCTCTATTGCCCTCCTAAAACCTGATTTTAAGAAGTATATCACATATGACACTCAGGAAGACATAAATGAATAATAAAAGTTTAAAATGTCATCCCTCTGAGACATAGAGCCCACACATTTTACATCTAACCCATAAGCCTGATGATAAAGGTCTCAAAAGAACATTTCATGTGGCCATCTGGGGGCTGCACAGGTAGATGGATTCTGGTAGGCTGAGATGATCTCCTGTGGAGATCTTCCATGACATCTTCCCAGTTGACATATATCAACACAGAAGTCTGGTCCCAGATTTCATACTACACTTGGTCATATTGTCTCCAAGAAGGAATATTTTCCAAAAGCTGTAGTAGTTGAAAATATGTTGCTATTTCAGGAGACTCTGTGTAGGTAAGTCATTAGTTCAGAATTCTCATTTATTCTTAGTTTTCTAAGGGCATTCTCAATGCTCTCCCATCCTGATCACTGTCCATGGGATGAGCCACACAGGGACAGCAGTTTTCAGGACACCAAGAAGCCTGAAGAAGAACAGATTCTGTAGCAAAATCCTTTAAAACTGCATTTAAAACAGTAGTAGCATATAGATGGGTCTTGCTTTTTTATTCATTTTATTACTCTGTGTCTTTTGATTTATGCATTCAGTCCATTTACATTTAGGCTGATTATCGATAGATATGTACTTATTGCCATTGCAGTCTTTGGATTCGTGGTCACCAAAGGTTCAAG